GTCGAGAAACAAACGTGTGTGTGTGTGTATGTGTGTGTGTGTGTGTGTGTGTGTGTTTGTGTGTGTGCTTCTTGAGGTTGGCTGGCATTTCTTTTAGATTCAAAGATAAACGAGGGTCGACAATGATGCAGTCCGGTGATGAATGAGGAAACAAAATAAATAAGATAGCACAGGATTACTTTATTTACTTTTTATTTCAAATAATTTTACCTACTTTATAAAAAAGGGTAGAAGAAGAAAAAAATATTTTGTGAGAATTTCTTCTTCCACTTTTGTAGGGACAACATTGGGAGGGAAAAAAAAGCTAAATTTGCTTTGTGAAAAGATTGTGAACAATTAACATCTTACCTGATGTAGATATCTCTTTGAACAACACCAAATTTAAAAAATAGAACACATTGATGGATTTGGTTGGAGCAAGGCCCAAATAAGTTAGTTAATAACCAAACTACATTATTTACAAAGATTTTTTAATAAATATCTGTGAGCATTAGCAGCAGCAGCAACTGCAACACTTCCAGTGCACCCTGGGACACTTCCTGCATGAAATGTGCAACATTTCTGCAGAATAAATAATTTAATGTGAAACTTTGTAACGTTGTAACAGTTTATAAAATAGTGTTCACATGAGCCACAATGAGATTTTTTCASATTAAAGTTGTTTTAAGAAGGCCTAGTTTAATCTCTTGTAATCTCCAATCTCAGATTCTCCAAACTAACGTAATTTAAAGAGCTATCTAAATCATTTAAGACAAAACCCCTTTCTGGACAATCATGATTATTTCCTACAGACAACCAGTCTGTTTTGAAAGAGTCTGATGCTCCACTGATCACATTTTTTCAGCCCAGTTTATTTAACTTCAGCTGTTTCTAATTTAGTATTGGTCATTTACATAAATATGAACATGAGCTGTGGCTATAGGTYTGTGTCTTCGATCTGTCGTATACAAATCAACGCACTGTCAAAAGCCTCATCTTTGAATGTGAATACAAGGGAAGTACATTTTTTAAATCAAATCACTTTTTTCCTGAGTTACTCAGAACAAATAAAAAAATTATAACCGATGTACCACCTGCTAATGCAAATGGATGGGAGCCTGGGGGATTGGGGCTGCAAAAAGGAGGGAGGCTGACTGAAAATATATGTAAGTTTTGCCTGTGTTATTACTTTGACATTGTAGCTCTCTGTGTGTGTGGTCAGCACAGCTCCCCACACCCTGACCTCAGGGTGGAGTTCCTCCACTCACAGCTACTAAAGCAACTAATCACAGCGAGCAGCTGCATCCCTCTCTGTTCAAATCCTCAGCGCCTCGCTCTCCAGCCCACATGTTAACTCTGGCAAACACACACTGTACCCCGGCATCCACGCACCGCCACTCTTCCTCTGCTAATGGCAAGCTGCAGTCGACTGATGTTTAAAGTGCCGGGTTTAGTGTGTAGGCCTGAGATAAGCCGCGTTGAGCTGTGAAAACACAGATTACATTTCGCTGGCTTATTACAGACACTGTACGCTTCTGCTTCCCAGCCACAATGTAATTCTGACCCAAAAACCGCAGCCTCTGCTTGGCGGCGAGATACGGCTGGATGGGGACCCCCACCCCACTCCACCTCCCACCTCTGGCAGAGCTTTGACAGGCATGCTAATTCCAGCCTGCATTCCCTCGTATGTTTTCCGCACGGCAGCCTCCTCCTGCGATAAGCCGCAGTCGTGTTTCTTTTAAGTGCCTTCCTCAATTAATCAAATCTGCACTGACAAATCAACTGCTGTCTCTCCGGTGTCACGGCTGCACCTTTTAAAACACTGTCAAAGCTGCCAGATAGGGGGAAAAAACATCCCAAATAACTGTCAGATTACTGATATGACTGTTGAGTGAGCAATCATTCATCAGAATGTCAGCGCAACCTCTTGAGATCCAACTTTAATACAATAATGTTGCTTTTAAGGAATAAATTTGATATTCTCATCACCAAAATTGCCTCTAAATGAGGTATAATTTGGATATTTGTGTTTAATGTAGCATAAGTTGAGATATCCCAAATGAAAACGAGCGTTCACTTTCTTGGACTGCCAAAGCCTAACAGGCATACATTAAATCCCTGCTTCTGGCAGGCTAATAAAAGTGCTCCATCTGCAAATACTTAGCCCATTTTTCCCCCTCTGGTTCAATCAAAGATAAAGACCATTGTGCTCCAGTTCCAGAGGTAAGACAATATCGTCCGACCCTCAAAGAAAACAATTAAGACCCATTAATTACACAGAGTCCTGAGGTTTGGGGTGAAGAATGAAAAGAGCAAATGACAGAGTAACACTGCTTATCTGTAATCGAAGGATGTAATGTTTTAATTTTAGAGCTCTAGCACTGCGTGATAGGCTAAAAATCTAATTTCTTGCCATGACTGTCTCTCATCTGACTCTGCAAACAGCTTCTCTGGGTTTGAAGACAAATCTAAACCTTAAACAGAGATGTGTTTTGTTTACCACAGACTGGACCTGTTGAGTTGCATACTGCATGTTGACTGGCAGGCCGAGGAGTGAGAACCAGTCGTCCTGAGAGAAAACATCTTTCACGTCTATCTTTAAAATATCATATCAGTGAGTGTTTCWAGTTAATAACGACAGTGCTGATTTTGAAATTTGAAGCTGCCCTGAAGTCCCACTGCTTTGGGTGTGTTTCAGACTRCAGATGCAGCCAGGGGCTTTTTGGGGTTGCCTGGTGAAAGAGGTAGATGGATCGTGCACATTTCCCATAGTCTGGGAGAAGCAGACAGCCAGACAGAGGACAATGATTGGAGCAAAGATAGATTGCAACTCCACAAGAAGTCCTCCCCCCCTTTTTTTTAAAGTAAAATCAACCTTTTGGAGCGTTATGTCATGTTATAATGCCTCTGCCTCATCAAAAACATACCCAGAGTGTTGCTTTGACTCATTCAGGCATGTTTGAGAAATCCTTGAATCTCCTGTTGCAGCCATGTGGTTGCTGCCTAAATGCTTGCTGGTACAAAGCACCGCCTATTTACACAAAGCTCCTCCCTGGAGCTCAGTCTGCAGCCGAGCTCCAGCCCCACATTGCACCCCTCCCCCAAAGCATTGTTGTGAAGACGTGCTGAAGTGGGAGTGTCGGAAACGGTAGAAGGTTTTTAAAAGGACGGCGTCCAAATTCAAGGTGTTTAGATAGACTATGATGCAAAGTCTAATTTATTTTTGACACATTCAGCATTTTCATAACAACTGAAGGTAACATATTTACTCGACTGTGGTATAGAATTGACCCCACCCACTACACACACTTAAAGATGCATGTTCAGAGCAATTTGAGACTCATGAGATGAAAAGCCGTGCCTTTAGAGTCGAAGCTAATGGGTTTTAAAAGTGCCAATAAGACAATATTAAGCAGTTAATTGTTTCAAATCAAATGTATTAGAGACATATTTGAAACTTGCACTGAGGGCAACTTTAGCTTCCCTTGGTAGCAGATTTATGCACTGTGTGGTGTTCAGCTTTAGTCAAGGAAACAAGTTTGTATTTTCTCTTAAAGCGCAGACTGAAACAGACAGCGGTGGCGTATCAATTTCAGTGCTGGCTTACTTGGCAGGAGCAGAACAAAGTGCTGGTGGCCCTGGATAGCATCCACAGTGCTGAAGAGTAAAAAAGAAAGAAAGAATGGAACCTGTCACTCCCACTCAGCTCCGCTTGTGATCTAAGCCAGTCAGAACGATGCTCAGATAAGTGGCTAATCCCAGCATCCCCCTACGGGCTCCACGGCACCCCCACTGCCATGACAACCAGAGGGGAATCTCCTCCGGCAACAACTTAATTGGATAATTTCCTCCCCGTTTCGCTTTCTGTAAATTCTCCTAAAGTTAAGTAAAGTCTGCGTTATTTGACCGTGAATGTTTTTTTTTTTTACTCTGAGAGGTTTCAGATTTGGCATGTTTTGGTGAGCGCAAGTTCAAGCAAGCCGAAAAGAAACTAAATATATGGAGATATTTCTTTAGTGGAAGCCACTTTGCTGCAGACCACAGACCAGTGGGAGGGTTCATCTGGGAACTGGAGCCCAAAAGAAATATACAGCCTCTGTTTGCAGTGCCACAAAAAAGCTACCACTTTAACCACTGTAAACATTTATTGTCCTTTGTGTCACATAGCCTGACAATTTATGCTGCGCCCCATTCAAGTCCCGGGTCACAACATAAACAGGTGCCCCACCCTCCTGTGCAGACTGCAGAGACCTGCAGACGAGTGCCAGGGAAAGTCATTATGAGTGTGTCTGAATGTGTGTGTGTGTGCATGTGTGTGTGTKTGTGTGTGGCAGGCAACTACCACAGTTGAAAAATGAAAAGAGCAGCGCTAGCCTAGCACTTTAAGAAAACCAAGGGTCGGTTTCAGCAGGATCATAAAACTGAAAACCACAAAAAGAGAATAAACCTTTACTTGGTCCATTTACTTTTGGAATGAAGACATTTCAGCTGATTAATGAAGTTGAGGTATCTGACTCACCCTGAAGAGGTTAAAGGATCTTGTTTCATAACTTCATTTGGGAGACAGAAGCTGTCTTATATAAGCTTAATGGAAATCACTCCTGTTCTGAAGTCTAACTTGTGCAAGGCCCATTGAAAAGCACACGGTGCGTGCAGACTGAGACAGCGATGAAAAATAAAACACTCAATACAGGAAGAACAATAGGAAGGCAGTGATGTTGGGCCTTCCTGAAAGTTCTGCTGTTTATTTCTGTCAAGTGCTGGTTAATCAGTGTGTTTGTGCCTCAGACTTACCTTCCTCACAAGCAGTCCCACTGAATCCCGGACAGCACTTCCACTCAATGGAGGTCACGGTGCGGTATACCATTTTGTATGAAGGTCTGACCACCGTCTTGTAGCTGAAAACCAAAATGAAAACTGTCAGGCAAATGTAACCTGTGATTACAAACAGGAGGCTCAACTAGATGTTGTTTTTTATTATTACTAGTTCACAATGATTGTTTTGATTTGCTTAACTTTTGGCACATACTTACAGTTTAAAATGAGACATTTCATGCTTTTAAATCCCTCTTTTCACATTTAAATCATTCAGTTGGGGACTTCATATAAAGTGGAACTGCAACCTTTTTGGTTTGAATCCCCCTTTCACCCCTTTTTAATGTGTGTCTCAGATCAACTCGTTTTGGGGCTGTCTCTTTAAATCCAAACTTCACACCCTGACCCCATCCAGCTTCCAGAGCGGTCCATACTAGTTTGACTATCTGCCAGCACAAAAACCTTTTATTTACAAATTAATTAAAAAACGTCAAAAAGGGAAGACTTGTCCATCCAGCCTWACATGATGGAGCCAGTCTGACCCAGAGCCAGAGGAGAATGAAGACAATAAAATTGTAACAGGTAAGTGCAGACTTTATTTGGCCATTACGTTGCAAATAATTTAACGTTAATAGTTCAGAAAATGTCGTAAAAAATAGAGAAAACTGAACTGGTCAAAAAATATAAAGATATCTTTGTAGCACCAGGAGAGACTAAACGCAAGTACACAACGTTAAAATAGTGGGTTTGGCATGATAGTCCTCCTTAAACAGTGAAGCTAAAATAACATTTTTGTGTCAAAGTAAATCAGTTTGTTTACATTTTGAAAACAACAGTTTATCTGTTTTATATAGTTAAGCTGATTTTTATTAGCTGTAAAGTGTTAAACATTCTAGTTCTTCTACAGTAACTATGTTTTGTGCTGTGGAGACGTTTGACCTCTCACCTGCCTCCTGAGCATCCCTGCGGCCAGCGGCACGCTTGGTAGACCCGCTGGAGGACGGTCCCGTTCTGCACCTGGCAGGTCACCGTCTTCGTTACTGTGTGAGGACACCAGTTCCTGAACAGACGGACAGACAACTAACAGTCAGAGACGCTGAGGACTAAATAAAACAGAATTGGCCACATATGTTGTTTTGAGATGAATGGAGTCATATTGATGAAAACGTGCAGCCACACATTCACACACAGCTAATTAGCCATGCAGCCACATTCAGATGCTTTGGCCATCCCTCCCCCACCTCCTTGTTTTGAGTCTTCCTTATGGTGTTTACATGCTTTTAATCRGCCACTAAATTTTCAGTGGTTCTGTTTATATTGATTACACAACTCATGGCATTTGGTTCTGGGAGGAGGCAGTTCCTCAAGAGGTTGTAAAAAGGACTCCGAGGGTCTCACACAAAGATTAAGATTTTTTAACACGGGTTACTGCAGGGTCACGAGTTCACTCCCATCACAGCCAGGCATCTTAAGACTTTTATCAGGAGTCACTGAGGCTGTTAAAAACCTTTACTGTGAAAGGGAAAAACAATGGTGTAAAGTTCTGATGTGACGTGATGACAGAGGATTTAAGAGACAAAGTGTGTTTTTATTTTGTAACATCGCAGCAAAACTCTAAAAACTATTCATTATTAGGACAGTGAGAACTAGCTGCTTTAGCAAAATTCTCACTGACATTCATTTTAACAAGAGCAGATGTTTTTGTGTGAAAGCACAAGGGAAAAGTTAAGCTTTAAAGTCCACTTTTATTTCATTCTGCTGCTTAACACAGAAAAATCTGGCTTTGATCGACAAAAAAACAGCGTGGAGGCCGAGCTAACGTGCTCCTGTTATCCCATCAACAATAAAATGTACAAATACCATCATTACTTTCATAAGACAGGGGAAAAGGAAACAATTACTCTGTTCTGTTTTCACACGGTGGATGAATTTATAGACGGGAGCTCTGGAAACCACACCGCAGACTGGGTCGCCCAAAGCACCAAAGCTGCTCCATGTGTGTTCTGCTGCCAGTTTGCAGGAGTAGTGGTCCGTTCCCACCAAAGTCTGTTTGTCAATATGTGAGACCATCTGTTTGAGTGTATTAAAGGCATTTTACACACACACACACACACACACACACACACACACACAC